GCTCCACAGCAACATCTTGGACTGCGGAGCACCAGAGGAAGCCGCAACGGGCCCGCCTCTTGGCGGGGAGAGGGAAGGGAGGGAGGAGGGAGGACGACCGGGGAATAGAGAAGCCGGCAGGGGTACAAAGGGAAATGAGGGGCTTAACGGAGCAGATGGAGGAAGAAGAAGGTTTAGCTCTTGGAAGGGGGAGGGGGCCGAAGGAGAACGTCGACGCCGTCGCTGCCGCTGCCGCCATTCCGACGGAGAACAGGGTAAACCGGAGGGCGACACGACTGAAGTATCGGCTCGTGCGGGGTAGATTGACGAAATCGCCCTTAAATTGAAGGATATGGATAAGGCGGCCGTCCTCCCTATCACATGATTTAAAACATATATATATATATATATATATATATATATATATATATATATATATATAAACCTTTACTTTGGATAATTCCTAAAAGAAATAATAAAATACAATTTTGCTATTTAGTTCACTCCCCTTCTTACTATTTATAATCCTTTTCTTATTCATAATCTCTTAAAATTAATAAAATAATATTTTATTATTCACAATCCTTCTAATTTTATTTGATCTTTTTTTTCTTTTCTTGCACCCTACTATTGTTAGCTCTTCCCACCATTTGCACACTCTTAGGTAGTTTGCCCAGGTTCAAAACATGATATATTTTAGTTTAATATAACTGATTTGAAAGATTATATCTTCTTTCTTATTATAACTCTAAAAATATTAAGTCATTATAATAGAAGTCAGAAACTATTTCACACCTCCTCCCTTTTTATTTTTAGGTCTCATTTCATCATTTGTCCTTTTTACATCACCTTCCACAGTTAAAAGGGAGGAGGAGGAGTTGAAGAAAAAGAAGGGAAAAAAAAAGTTAAGATAATGAGTAAAACAATTTTATTAGAATTAAGTTATAAACGACGGCATATACATCTATTTACATGGGATAACTTAGGAATATCTAAAGTTGGATTATAAATAATAAAAAAAGGAGTTTAAAATTGTAATATCCTTTATAGCATTTTGATTATCAATTTATCCTTTTATTTCCACTACATATTAACGTTGCTCATCGCTCATCGTACCCTTCATCGCTTGTAGAGAGAGACATTATAAGATCGAATGATATCCCAAAAAAATAATATGTGTAACTCTTTCTCCCTAATCTCTTTAAATACACTTTCCGTCAATATGGGCATGCCTTCCCCTAATCCTAAGATTGAACATCAAATAAAGAAGATGAAACCTTTAAAAATGATAGTGGGTCGATGAGAAAGGTTGGAGACAAGGTGGGAGGTTATGGTGAAGTAATATATGATGACATGGAAGGCCTCCAATTTCATGGTTTGTGTTTGTAGCCCCCTCACCTTCTCCTTCGTATACGTTATCAACCTTCATCTCATCAGTCACTTGCTCTTCTCTTTTGTCTCATCCATAACGTAAGAAGCCTACGTAGGAGCATTGAGATAGTCAAGTAGCAAGGTCTATTAGTTGTTGTTGCTTCCATTGGTAACCCTCACTTGGGTCATCCACCCCTTGCGATCATCGCTTGTGCTTGCTCATTGTTTGGTTAAATCAATGTTGGTCCGATCGAGAAAGAAGAAAAAAAGAATATTTATGTTTATTTTATTTAAAAAATATTTTTATTATAAAAATAGTAAAAAAGATTGTAAATAAAAATCTTATGATGTGGAAGGCTTCTATTTACATGGTCTCCATTTGAAACTCCCTCACCTTCTCCTCTATAACCGTCGTGAACCTTCACTTCATCAGTCACTTGCTCTTCTCCTCCATCTTTCTAACAGCCCAAAAAGCTTACGGGAGCATCGAGGTAGTCAAGCCCTACTAATCACTCAAGTAGCGAGGCCCACCATTTATTGTTGCTTTCGTCAGCAACCCTGACCCAAAAGGAGAAGAAAGTAAAAAGATATTTATGTTTATTTATAAAATAATATTTTACTATAAATAGTAAAAAAAAGATTACGAATAGAAATCTCTTGTATGAATTTTAAAATTATTATTGTTACTCTTTGAGAAAATCATACTAAGATTAAAAATTTAAGATTTTTTATTTTTATATATGAATTTAAACCACCCATACAAACGCGAAGATGATTCTCCCACCACTGCTTTTAAGGAAGAACCACGCTCCATGTCTCCATTGCGAAAAGAGCAACGGAGCAGTTCAGCGGGGACCGAAGCAAAGCAGCGACCGCAAGCTATCCTGCTCCTTCATCCCTAAGCAAACACCACCTGCGCAGTCACCAAAATGGCTCTCAGCAACACCCTCATCGCCGGCATTAATTTCGTGGCCATGCTTCTCTCCATCCCCATCGTGGCCGTCGGCATCTGGCTCGCCACGCAGGCCGACAACTCCTGCGTGCAGCTTCTCCAGTGGCCTGTCATCGCAGTCGGCGTCGTCGTCCTCCTCGTGGCCCTGGCGGGCTTCGTCGGCGCCTTTTGGCGCGTTCCGTGGCTTCTGCTCTTCTACCTGGTTGCCATGCTCGTCCTCATACTCCTGCTGGCCGGCCTTGTGGTGTTTATCTACGCGGTCACCGTCAATGGCTCAGGTCACCTCGCCCCGGGCCGAGCTTTCCAGGAGTATCGCCTCGAGGACTACCCGGGGTGGCTTCGGCAGAGGGTGGAGGGACCACACCGGTGGAACCGCATCAAGGAATGTCTTAGCTCGACAGCAGCGTGTGCGGAGTTGAACCGGACGTATACATCGGCTCAGCATTTCTTCGATGCAAGGATCGGTCCCTTACAAGTGAGTGTGATGGGTTCTGCTGAATACTGCTGCTATTCACTGCTGCATGAGGGTTTTAATCTGATGACGTGAGGTCTTTGTTTTCTTCTTCTTCTGGTTTGTTTATGTCACCAGTCAGGGTGCTGCAAGCCACCGACGGAGTGCGGATACACATTTGTGAACCCGACGTACTGGATCAGCCCCATCAGCGCCGCGTCCGACATCGACTGCATGCTGTGGAGCAACGATCAGACGGTGCTTTGCTACTCGTGCTCGTCCTGCAAAGCCGGCCTCGTAGCCAACCTCGGAAGAGAATGGAAGAGGGGCGATGTGGTCTTGGTGGTGACCCTCGTGGCCCTCATCGTCGTCTACGCCATGGGTTGCTACGCTTTCCGGGATGCCAAGACGCAGGAGCTGTTCCAGAGATACAAGCAAGGCTACTACTGAGGAACCAAACATGGGTTGCAGCTGGCATTGATGAAGGGGAGAATAAAGAAAGATGACGCATCTGTGGAGATTCCTGGGGTGGGTTGCCGAAAGGTGGTTCTAAAGGAGGAGGAGGAGGAGGGCTAGGTGTAAAGACAGAAGAGCGCAACAACGTGCGAAAACTTACTTTTGATCCTCTGTAGCAAAAGCTGCTCTGACGCTTTCATAGATTCCTGTCGAGATTATTATTTCTCCATGGATATGCCCTTTAATAACATAAATCTACCAAAACTAGAATTTATTATATTTACCAGCATTCTTTGTCGACGGTAAGCAATTATCACTTGAATCTATAAGAACAGAGGAAGAATCGCTGGAACTCAAAGGCAAAAATATGTCGTGATTTAAATAAAAAACAAAAAACAAAAAATAATGGTACAATTGCCTCAAAACTGTTAAGATGATGTCTAGGCCTTCACTTTTCTTTTAATATCTAGGACCTGCAGAAAACTTTCAGAGGATCAGTTACACGGTAGCAAGTTATGTATAAAACAGCAGGAACTCAATAGATTAAATGACAAGTTGTGAATGATAAACTTTAGATGTGGAGAAAGCACTGGCAATTGACTCCAGTCTACTGCAGGATTATCACATCTCACTTGCTGAAGGTTCCGACACACTTTTAATGCATAAAACAGCAAGTTACGTATAAAACAGCAGGAACTCAATAGATTAAATGAAGGTTCCGACACACTTTTAATGCATAACGTGGTGAAAAACAGCACCACACAACATTTGATCAATACCAAACATATATCTTACATAGAACGTACTAGTCTAGATAAATAAATCAAGCTTTCATAACCAAACTACATCAACAATTTTACTCAAAGAGTCCTTGTTTCTATTACGGTAGATTATGACAGACCTTATTAGTTACAAGTTCTGACATTATGTAAAGGTGGTCTATCATATTTAAGAATTGAGTTTTGAACATTTAATTTTAAATTAGAATAGTTGTTGATAATCAACATAATCCCATTGATGCGGAGGCCTACTGATGGTGTTTCATTATGTGGTCAGCACAAAAAAAGATGCAAATCATTCAGCACTTCTTCACTTTCTTTCTCTCCATACTTCTCAAGTTGTTTAGATGCAAGTCATTCATCATCTTCTTACACCAAAATATATAATAAACTTCAAATCCAAAAATTCATAATAAGTGGAAAAAGAGAATGCCCAATTCAACAAACTTAATGGTGACTTTGACACATGAAAGACATTCAAGAATCTTGTCATTGTCATTACCTACCTTAGACTGGAAGTGTCTCATGGTCAACACGATGATATCCCGTAACCTGCACAAGAAAGTCGCATGAGAGTGCAAGAGAGCAGAAACATTATCTGCGGAGGATTATCATTGGAGTACAAATCCAACAGCATGCTGTAACAAACTGACCGAACGTCATTCTCCAGGCTATACGGCTGACAAGTTCCATCTGTGCTAAGTGGGAGATTGGTTCCATCTGAACAAGTCAACACAAACTGGGTTGTGTACCCAAGAGGAACTTTGATCTATCAAGTCAATCACAGAGATGTGATTAAATATCAAGTAATGAAGCATATAACAGTATAACTATACACTTCCTGTTTAAAAATACCTTACTTTTAAATCAGGTGAATATTTTTCTTCTATTACCAAATCATCAGAATGTTTCACCTTAATCTGATAGATGGATCGTTTCACAACAAGAACTGTTTGCTGCCAGTTGGAGGAATCCACCTACTCATTTATGAAAGTTAGTAGATGAATTTTATGACCATTTATTAGTGATCAATCAGAAAAACTCATTCATGAAGATTTTATTTTCTCACAGTTACTATGCATACGTGATGTAAAGCAACACTATTTAAGTGAAAAATTAAGGATTTAGATATCCAGACTGGCATGATACATTATAATACAGGAAAAAGATAATTTAAGAAAAGTATGCATCAGTATTACTTTGGGTACAACCAGCATACCGCGTAACCATACATGATAGGATCAATGAATGCTGGCCGGTAATGTTGGCAACTGGCATCGCCATCTATTCCAATCTTAATGTTAGGCAATGCAAAAGCAGACTTCTTCATTAGTTAGCATCGTTAGCAATTCACTCTTCCAGATATTTGCTTTCGTGTATCTTGCAGCAGTTCCAATATGTTGCTTTTTGTCAGATTTCCCACAAGGATATCATGATTTGCCTAAACTAATTCATTTTTACAGGGACAAACATTTGTGATGTCCTTGACATACTGATGCAGCTCTTTTTTTATGTTTCTCAGCATTAGTCGTAGATTGAATCCAAGGCCAATAATATAATGGCATAACATGTAAATGCTTCCGAAGTTTATCAAATCATTATGATTTTATGAGTAGACCATTTCATAAACTGAAAATTCTGTCCCACTATGACAGAGAGATGTTAAGTAAATGGTTTAATAAGAGTTTCTAACCAGCACAACATCTGTTTTGATTTCTTTCTTTTTATATGCTATAGTATAATTATGGTTTCTTGCACTTAAAATAAAAACTTGTCCTTAGCGCTTAATAAAAATTTTATTAGGAAAAAAAATAGCATCAGTGATTCATTATTTAAACTTTACATAATTACAACTAAGGTTCGTCGTACCATAGCATACCACCCGATACAGGCGGTACATACCATTCCGATAGGAGACCGGAATGGGCGATACATATCAATTTGTTCATATGCTCCACCGTACAATGTATCGATATGTCAGTACGATTTGGTAAGTACCATACTAACGACCTGTCACGGACAAATATATAAACAGAGTATTTGATGTAATGTTTGTGTATGTCTGTGTCTTTCGGTTTTGTTCATGCTTTGCACAGCATGTAAAGAGCTTGTGGTAGACTTGTAAACACAGGTTGTGTGCAATCGTTGCGCAGAGGCAAGACTGCCCAAAAACAAGCCATTCAGATTGTTATTTTGGGAGTTTTCTAGATTCGCAGAGTGGTGCAAACTGCGAAGTGTTAGCCAATACAACACCCAGGAGCTACCCGGGTGGCACGTGGTTGAAAGGGCCTTTAGGGTAGTGTTTAGGGCTAGTTCGTTATGTTGTACCACAACAATGTCAAGTGGGCACTTTTAGGGACTTTTGGTCGCGGCAGACCACCTTTTGGACCCTTTGTTGTGTGACCATTTAGGGCTTGCAAAGTCTATTTTTATAATTGTCATTGTTTATCAAGTATTTGTTGAAATGACTACTTATTGGATCCTAAGTTAAACGCTTCCTTAGTTCCTTTAACTTGTCTTCTCTTTCGCAGGTCCCTAAGGGACCATAAGAGGTTTCAAATAAGCTAATCTTTTATGAACGGATACGTAAGGGTGCGGCACGACTTAGGCAAAACCAATTAGTCCGTGATAAACTAATCGATACACTGATATGGACCGGTAAGGTGAACCATGCTTGCAACAAACGTTTGAGTACACAAAAACCTAGACAGGTTCACAGAGAGACTCCCTTGATCTTTAACTTTGTATTCATGGAGCCAATTTGCTTAAGCATGGAATCATGTTTCTTAGTAGTATTCACATTCAGTTTTGCACAGTTATGGAGACCATCAAATTAATTTACAACCAATAAGGAAAAATGTTCTACCTACCAAATAGTTTAAAGCTTTTATGCTGGTCAGTCATTTCTGTTATTTGTCTTAATGAGGAATGAGGACGAGAATTTAAACGAACATAAAGTTCATACTCGTACATATTTTCTTCACAATTTCCATGGAGCCTTCTCAGTTGCGCTATGTAGCTGAGGCCATTATAATATAAAAGGCTTAGATATGTTGACAATGTCAATAGCATACAATCTATTGAATAAAAACCCACACTATGTTCTTTCAGCTGATGCCAGAATAGTTTAAGTGGTGAATATAGGTGAGTTGGCTCTGCAGATGCCAGTTTCTTGGATTTATTCTTATTGTTCACTAACCATATTCTAGATTGATTCATTTTCAACTTCAATTATTCTAAGAAGGATTAAAAAGAATCACGTGATCCACAACTTATATCACAATCTAATTCAAACCACTCCCACACTTTTACAACTAATTTCATAATGACTAGAATGTAGCAAATGCTAAAGAAATTTTGTATGCAGAAAAGAACATTCAAAACTCCGTTTTGCATTTGGTGTGCAATGCTAGCAACCAAATTAACAAGTGTTCAAACGGTGAATGTTTGAGAGTGATATTCTTGATGAACTTCTTACTCAACACATTATGATACTTTAAATCAGATACACTAGGAACTTCGGACTCAACACATTATGCTAACTGGCCAAATTTATCCAATCATTTTGCAGTGAATTATGCCAAATTTTACAAGGGTGGTGCCAATTACTAGCCAACTCCAAATTAAGAAGATGGCACTCAGACAAACACTTAAAAGATTAGTAGGTAGGTAGAAGCTTTGCATTCCTGGTTGTCGCTTGATATTCTCCAACCATTAAGTGATTCTCAAATATCATACACATCTGGGAAGAGTTATACTTGCAATATTACTAAAAAAACCACATGTATACAAAATCTGGAAGATATGTTACTTTATTAAAATCATATGTTGCATCTAAACAAAAATACATATTGCATGCAGAACATGATAAAACAATTGAATTAATTAGAGTAAAAAATGGCTACATACCAATGCTTTAATGTTAAATATTGCCTTCCCAGCAGATATATAGGCATCAATCTGATTCTGCATCTCGGAATCTGTTGAATGTCAATCACATTTAGATGGCCATGTAATCATTTAAGGAGAAAAGCTTAGACACATTACAGTATGAAACACAAAGGGTTTGGCTTTGCTCATTTGTCAATATGTTCACAATTCAGTTACAGGAGAATACCACCTAACTTTCAGTTCAAAACAGGCAACTCTATAACTTCAGAAGATATAAAATTACACTCATCAAAGTTATGCTAGGATTACCAAGCACATAAAGATAAGTGTTAATTGGAACCAGAGATACTGCAGCAAGTGTAGTTACATGTACTAACTTAGTCAATAAAATCAGGTACTTGTTAGCAAGAAATCAAATCTCAGATTCAGTATCGATGCCAGTCCTGTTGGACTAGCATAGTTGCAATATTCTGCAGTAAAGCAACAGGAACAGATCAAAACTGATCAAATAAAATAAGGATAAAGGAAAAGGAAAAGAAACAATGGAAAATGACAACAAAGCCAAATGTTACTCTCTCTCTCTCTCTCTCTCTCTCTCTTCTTCTTCTTCTATCTGGTCATAAGCATAATTCTTCACAACCAAAGGCTAATACATTAATGCTGGAGTTTAGGGTTTTAGACCTGACACATTTGGCCATTTCAAACTTAGGATCATGACAATTTGAATTTTTAGTTCCACAGCTCAACACTACCAAATTGGTCCCATGCACTGACTGCTTTGGTTCACCTAGTTTAACCAATAATTCACTTGACATCAGTTAAACCTAGCCAACTTAATAATCCCAATGCTCAAGTAGCCCACAACTTGACCCTTGCTCACAGGGTGGTACACCATGAATTTAGTCCCTTAGTTGTTAGTTTCAACTTTCAAGTACGTTTTCCTTGTGCTATTGCATAGTAAATGATGGCATATCCATTTATTGCACCATTCGGCAAACATAGTTCAGGATCTACTGAGGTTCTGTCCTTGATCACCAGCACAAGATTTGAGAGGAACATATAGATATTATGCAAGTGAAAACTTTACATATATATATCGTAAATGCAATATTATCAGCCAAAAGATATTTTTTCTACAATGGTTCATTAGCTAATGAATGAAGACATAATCATGGCAAAATTGCTCCTTCACAAACTGGGCCTCAATGGTTCAGATTATAGAAATATCCTCACTACTTCTAGGGAAAAAGTTGTATGCATCACCCTCCCCAAACATTTCACTGGAAGGAGCCTCACACATTGGGCAGCCCCACCCATTCTCGTATGCAAACTTACAGTTGTTGTATAGTAACCTTCTAGAAGCTATTAAAAGATAAGATCATAGAAAAGGTTAACAACTAAAACATAGGATTTCCATGACTCCAAGTCAAACGGTAACTTTCTCACCAGCTGCTTGCTAAGCCTCTATCCTTCTTAGAGTCCCATGTTAGCACCAAAATTCCACAGATGTCAGCTTGATGGTTACTCACACAAGTTGCTTATATTGATTACTTGTCCTTTTTTGGAAAGTATATATAACCAATGATTTAAATTCTATTCAAACTTTGAAGTGCTTAGGCATAGGTTAGTTAGGAGGAGTTTTAAAGTCATTAAAAATCAAAATTTTAAAGTTTTAGATTATCTTTAAGATTAGGAGTTACAAATTTTAGCATTTCTAGAAAGTCATGTAGGTATATAAGACCATATATGCAGTCATATGATAGGCCACATAAGGTGAAGCGGACTCAACAATGTTATTGTAAATATGAAATATGTTGCACATAGATGGTCCACATCAAGGATTGTAGTTTTGGATACAAGACCCATGTCAGTCCATGGTCGAACCAGTATGGATCCAGTCTAAATTACATATTGTTTGAGTTAAATTAAATATGCAACCATGTAACTTTCTGTTTAAGTGGTCAAAAGCTTCAATTGACTTAGGCTTAATAAATCTACTGCCATCGACATGTGGTCATACGACTGCCTTAAATAAGGTCACGCAGAGTTATTATAAATGTGAAATCAATTGAACATATGCAGTCCACATAGGAATGAAAATGTGATCAATTTCATGCTTACATATGTATTTTATATCTCCTCATCACTATTGTTTCAATTTTTACTATCATCTTAGTGCTACCTTTTATGGTTTATAATAATATGCTATTTATTACTTATTTCTTGAATACTCTTTTAATGCACACAGACAACATCATACTAATATTTTATTAGGTCTTAGCACAGAATTGCTTATTAACAATATCAACTTAATTGAATATTTCTTTATTAATAAATTAAATATTAATACCTACCATCCCAACCAACTTCTTGATAGTCTAGTGATGACAAAAAAACGTATACTTTTTTTGTCTAATTTGATCCTTTTATGTATATTCAAAGATGGAACAACAAAAATGGTTATTAATTGATTATGGTTATGGAGTAGAGTCAGACGAGTTCACTGTCTACTTAGGTAGAAAGAACAATTTCTTCAAATTAGACATGACATGAATACTAACTAAATTTATAAGTTTACAATAACATTCAAGAAATCATTGCAATTTAGCATTAACCATCACACTTAACAAAAAGAGGGTGCATAAAACATCAAACTCATGTTATGCCTGCTGAATCTCAAAATTCCTGTGACTCCAAAGAGCCTGCTGGATTTTAAAATTCGTTGAACTCCAGCAAGGCAGATTCAACAAAATGGCATAAGATGGTTCTATTGTTATTTCACAGATAATCTGAAAACGTATAATTTTTTTATGAAAGATGAATCATCAAAAATGGAAAAATGCATGACATAAAATTGAATATTGTGAAAGTCTTATTATTGTAGCTTTGTAGGTTTTAGAATATGATCTATTGTGTTAAATGTAACAAAGAACACCAATGATATTGAACCCTTTGAGGGCATATCAAAGGTGCCGGTTATTTCTTGTAATTTAGGATTCCTTGTCAAAAGAAATTTGAGCATTCCTCCAATAACCAATGGAACTGAACCCTTCAATGTCATATCTTGATAGTTCTGCACTAGTCCTATGCATGTCCCCACTATGCAGACACTAAGATTAGAATACAATAAGGGTCATAAAATAATTTGAACTTTCCATGTGCAGATCATTATCCATTATTTATAATGAGGATAGCAGTGTTCAACATATACTCACCGCACGTTATCTTGTTCTGATTGTTGGCAAATTGCCTCACCAAATCACCCTAAAGGAAATAAATGGATCACAGTATAATCAACATTTTACACATAAGACAATAACATTAACATAAACCAAAATTTATACGAATTGATAACAAAGATTCCTGAGAATTAAAAAAAAAAAGTCAAAAACCAGCACATACATTTAGAAAGATGAGTTGCAAAAGAATTTACTCATGATAAAATACTAGTCTTTAAATAATTGGTGAACAAAAATTGAATTGTAACTGAATTTAATGTATGAAAAATGCTTGGTGAGCCAAGCTTGAATTGTAACTGAATTTCTCACACTGAACTCAAGCCTAGCAAAATGTTTGGTGAGCAAAGCTTGAACATGTCAAAAGCTCAGCTTTGCCGTCCTAATTACAATGTGTTTTAACTATGATTTCTCTCTCTGCTATGCTAATTATAAGTATCATGCCATAAATGCAATACTATCATCCAAGAGCAATACAACTAGGCTCTGCAGGAAAACTATGGTTGAATTGAAGACCAAAAATCTGAAAAATGAAGACTAAATATATCAAATGTACCACTCTAGGTGATCTATATCAATTATCTATAAATCAAAATATTTTGTTTTAGAACTCCTTGTCTGTGCATCAAATCTACCAAAATGGAATGCTTTAATTTTTACGACATTTAGAATTGTATAACCAGCCAGGAGTGTTCTCTATAGTTCCGGTCTATTTTGTATATTCCTCGAAGATGCTTAGGTCAAGACAAATGGATGATCCTTTAGGTATGTATTAACATGTAAATTGGAGTACTAAAGTACTCAACACTCAATTTTAGGACTATTTGATACATGGCAAAGGAATGCATAAAACTTGTAATATTAGCCTCTATGACATGTAACGCTATAGATCACTTTGGAAAGATTGGAGCACCAATCTAGATCCATTTGTTGGATCTCTCTGGAACCTTGGGTATCGGACATGGTTGTCCACCAGTGATCTCACAGAATACCTCAAATATCCATGATAAGACAACAAAAATAAGAATGCTGAATGAAATATATTAACAAAAGATGTAGCATAAAATTTCAGCATACACAATTTATGTAAAAAAATACATTATAAAACAAATATAAAATTTTCAGGTTGAATTCAACAGATTTATAACATGATCCATTAAAAAATATATATTATCAAATAAACGAATTATCTATGTTTCGGACACAACAAATAACCAACACTATGGAGTTGCTAAAAAGTAACAATTCATTTTTCTTGTACAAGATACAAGCAAGACACCTGATGGTCATTGTTGTCGATGGGTGTGCATTCTACAGCAAGAATAGTATCAACATCATCAGCAGTTACCACATATTCCGGAACATTGACTCCTAGAACAGGTGATAAATCATAAAGGAATTAGACGTGTTATGAAGCAAAATCAGAATTATTACCATTATTTTGTCAAGCTAATACAAAAGAGCGGAGTCATATCAAAGAATACCTTCTATATACTGCCTAGTGCCATTATCAAGTTCACGAACCCACTAGAAAAACAATGCAGTTCAAATCTTAATAGAATTTAACCACGACTGAATGCAAAAACAATACATAGATTTATTGTCCTATTCATGAAAAGTAAGATAGAAAATCATAAGTACCTGAAAGATGCAAAGAGTTGTACCATTTGTTGGATATCCACAGGCTTGTAACTTGCATCCTGGTTTAGGCTCACCATATATTTGAAACCCTTCAATACCAGGTAAGTCATATTCACCTGCTAATTACAGTTATAATGAGTGAAGATCACAGTTATCATAAATTGAGATCAAAATTTCCTTTTCCAATTTAATATTAGTTTAGCCTTCCATACCTTCCAAAACAAAGGACCCTTGGTTATCGTGCACGGTAGCCGTATGAAATTGGGCATCAGCATTTAAAGTTCTAAATGTGGCCTTATGAGCATAACCTTCAGAAGAGCTGGAAACACCAGTATTACCAACCTCCCTGCATAATAGAGTTCATAAGTGTGTTGAAATTTATTTCTGTCAGGGGAGGATCAACCAGACAAAGTTCTCATAGAGAGAGCAAATGGTAATTCCCAAAAGTTATTAATTCTCAAATAGTACTAGAGTAGGCACAATAAACAACATAACTCCATGTGCCCCTCATTTGGGTATTACAAAATGCATCCTTTCTACCAATTAGCATATCAAAATCACTTCTTCTAACCAGACATTTTTCTCTTCTATTTATATACAAGCTCTCATCATTCTTCTCTCCACCTTGGTGTACCTCTAATTAGAATTGATATATTCCAGCACTGTTTCACTACATTGTCCATTTTGAAATGCATCTTAACCACCTAGATGACTTCACTCGTCTTGCTCTAATTTGGGCATACTACACAGCTGACATAATAAATTTACCTAACAGTCAGCTGCTCAAGGTTCTGCTCATCTAGTATTTCATATTTCATAAGTGTTATCTAGAATTTAGTTTTGACCTATGCGATACCAGAAAACTTGAGAATTGAAATCCCTTATTATCCATTAAAACTTTCATGGCTTCATGAATGCATAAAGTAAAGAACTTGAAAAACAAGCTCCTATTGTCTTTTAAACATTCAGAAAAACAAGGTTAAGATAATCATCTTATAGTCTCAAATTCATTTTATGGTCTGTGAATCAGATGCAGTCTGAAGAATAATTAAAACCCCAAATCTTTATTACCCTACCAGTCTACAAGGCAGATGCAATCTGACAGGTAAAACTAACAAGCCACCGCTGACCCAAAGGCCACCTCTGCATATTTTATCCTCCCTCAAAAAGAAAATTTTATATTTTATAAGGTTTTGAAGGATTTATGATCTTACCATGAAAACTAATTTTAAAAAGCTAAAATTAGCACAAGTATCACCAAGCAAACCAAATGTGTGTCAATCTAAAGATTTATATCGTTAATTGATGTTAACCATTGACATGATATAGTGCTGAAGGCTAACTGCTACATGATTTATGACAAAAGCATCATCTTAAGAACAGTCCACTTATGGAAGTAAAAGCTTCATAAGCTCATTTTTCTCTTTGAAAGTTATTAACATGTGTGTATGTGCTATTAGAGCTTGATATATGTTGGGTTCTTTACTAACAGCTTAGGCTCTTAAGATTAATGGTCCCCAGTCAAGATCTTTATCATGATATGAGAGCAAGTCATGGATTGAAATATGTATGCTCCCTTTTTATTTCACCCAGTACTTAATAAATGTTTATGCAATGTATGTTTCTTATTTAAGCTCGCACCATGTATTTGGGTTCAGTTTCACAAGCCAAGCCTAATCTCACTTGCACATAAGCGGGAATGTTAGATTTTAATATATACATTGGACCATTGTGTTTGGAATTAATAGTCACCCAGTCAAAATCTTTATCACGTGCCAAGAAAGTAGGCTTGGGTGGTTTCATCTTATACTAGAATCTGTTACAATTATCATTCAAAAATTAATATCCCAATCAAAATCTTGATTGCGTGTCAACAAAGTAGGCTTGGGTAGTTTCATCTTATACTAGAATCTGTCACAATTATCATTCAGAAAATAATACAAGGTCACTGCATAAAAGTGTATCTCACTAGCCTTCATTTAGTGATCGCCTTAAAAATTTACCGAAATAAAACCATATTTGATGCATATTGTCAAAAGGTATCCAGAAACCAAACAGCAGAAAGAAAATAAATCAAAAGCTTAGTAGATAAAAGGACTTGTACTAACTTATGAAATTCTGATGGCAGATCTCTTGGCTTCTCATAAGCAACTGGATAAGGCATCTCAGAGTTTAGAGTAACATCTACATCCTTTTTATCTATCTTTGCAAAGTCTTGAGAGACTCTCAACTGATTAGCTGTTGATGTGCCATGCAAATCCATAGGATGTTGATCATATAGACGAAGCTCAGGTATAACTGATTCCTATGAGTAGGTATATCACAATTCAGCTTTACAAGTTAGGAGTTAGGACACTGAATAAAAAATGGAGTAACTCTAGATAATACAAAGTGAGCATAAGACAATTGGTATCCTGAGAAGTTGGATGCTGAAGATTCTTATTAACCATTAGATTATCAGGTTGATTTCCTAAGAGATGGTTCACAACTTCACATCACCAAAATTATCCTGCAATAATAGTGTAAATTAATTGAAAATTCTAATCACTATTAGATAAATGATATTTGTGAGAAAAAGGCCAAAAGAGCAACAATATAATATTCGTTGTTCCTAGTTTGCTAATTACATAAAAAAGAACATTAACATAGAGTTTTTGTTTGTAAGGATCACTGTGAAGGCAGGATTTGGTCCCATAATGTATATCTTTACTGGCCAAGTTAGCTAGCAATTTAAGATAATTACCTGATTCAATCTTAGACTTGCTATCAACAATCATAATCTTTACTATTTAAGCTAGCCAGCAAATAGACTTTGCATGCGCCCTGCTTTGGCTGTATTGGTTGGCATTGGTATCAGACACAAGCACATGCAGGGGGTCACGGCCACATATAAATCTAGTAAAAACAACAGCATAAACATGGCAACAGATGCAGTGGGTTATTACCACTGGGGCTCAGCACATTCAAATTGATGTGCCAGAATCTGGGATGTAACAGCATGATCGCAACTGACGAAGGCCAAAGACATCAGCTTTCAAATAACTTCTACTAGATATATAGGTTTATGGGCATAACCAATGTCGATAGCATTTAGATGAAACAATTGTTCCACTATGAAGGAATAAACTGACAAGGTTTTGACTGTGTGAATATAATCAAGTATAGTACTCAATAACTGAAAGGAAGGTTACTTACATTATATCTAATCTTCCAATGCATACTCTGGTACAATTGCTGAAAAACCCAATAAAAGAGAAATCAGCTACTCCTGCATTTCTTCATGAATGCTTATTATATTTGGCATATAATAAACGAGAATCATCATACAGTTCGTCATAAACACAAAGCAGCTAACAGCTACATCAGTTACTAATAGTATTTTGACGTACTAAAATCGTGCAACACCATAGTGATTATTATAACTGAAAAAGAATAAGGAGAAAAGGTGTCATGATATTGGGTGAGTTCAAAATCGGTATGAAACTGCATAGACAGACTAGCAGAGTTATGAGTTGGTTTCTTGCACCCTTGCACTGCCATTACATGAATCAACACAATCTAGTACTAGATCATGCCAGCCCTAAGGTCCTGCAATGTGCAACACATAGCATTGAATCCCTCAATGAAAATTAACATAAATGCTTTCAGAGAATGTAAAAGAGGATTATCAGCTTAACAGATGAACTGAGCATAGTATCATGGAACATTTAAACAGTACTATTACTTGAGATTTCCTGTACCTAATGCTGGCTGAGGACAAAAAGATAAATTGGAACAAATCATGAAATTGCATATCAAAGTAGCAAATAAGAGAAATTTTTTAGAACACTGGCCAACCAAAAGAATTCTACCTTTATACCGTAGGAAATTGCAGAAGAACTGATAACAGGGGGTCGGATGTCATATTCAGCTAATAAACTTAGGAATGAAGAAGTTAATATATACATCTCTTCCTCTACAACCTACAGAAATTGGTAAAAGATATATTATAAACAATAAAGAGGGTGGCTGCATTCAATATTTTTAACAAAGCCCAAGAAGAGATGAAAGGCAAAAGTACTTGTAAATCTTATCACAACCTGTGAGATGATGCAAACAAGAGATGGATCTCGTGATATGAGACAGCATAATTACCTCATATTAGCAGATAAAAATAATAAATAAAGAAGTGAAGTCACAGGTTTAGATTCATATTGTGGTTTTCTATCACAGGAGAGCTTAGAAACAAAGTTTCTAGAAAAAAAATTTACTAAACATAATTTCACAGCTCTGAGTCTTCACTAAATCAGATATAAATCAAGATTTCAATCCAAGTAATCTGACTCCAATCTGATCTGATTATTTGATTCCTACACAGACCAGGAACAAATCAGATTCAATCTGGTCCATGTTCAATCCATTTACAGCCCTAGCCATGCCAGCTATGCTGTCCCATAATTTAGTCCTAGCATGACGTTTCCGAGTTTCGGGTTTGAAATTTTCTTACTAATACACCTAAGCCTTTTGCAATCCACAAGTTATCCTTGTGGCAATCACTAAGTTGTCCTTCTCAAATGATGCAATGTAACAAAGTCGTAGGTATTGTGGAGACAATTTAGATATTAATAAGTGGAAGCTTTCCTTTTTTTCTTTCCTTTCTTGTGGTACAGTGCCTCACTAGAGTGAACAAGATTTTTACTGTGATGTAAAGATCAGGTTTTTACTTTTTATCATGAGTGTGAATTGTGGAAGAGTAAGGTGAGCTCAGTACACCATGAACAGCATGGTTATCCAGAATAGTCTGAGAGGAGAATTTGATACTTAAACACACTCTATGGCCAAACCTACCATATGATTCCATCCTAAAGAGAAGTAGAGCAAAAAGTTGTGTTTCATCCATTTGCACAGCCAGCCCAAAGAATATACAATCAAACACAGAAAATCATGTCATCGAAAAAATTACTTATAAAAGGCTGGTAGCAATATGTGTTCTATTAAAAAGATGAAAAAGATTCAGAAGAATAATCTATCCAAAATAGAGAAGACTACTTAAACCTCACATATCAGAAAGAATAATTCTTCTAGATAGCCATCTATATAATAAGCTGAACAAGTCTTCCAAAAACATCCACAAAAAAAATGCTTCTAGGTACACGTATGTGTACTAAACAGCTGATCAAGTCATCTATAAACCTCTACAAGCAATTGTCTTCTTTGTTAGAATACGACAATTGTAGGATTTTCAAACATGAAGATCAGAGGGGAGAACATGATGGTAGATTTTTGTTTTACCATATTAGTTCCTAAGTCATCATGAGATTTATATGAACTGATTATAAGATATCTAAAAACCCAACATGAGATATGTACAAGATACAAATCTTTATCTCTCAGAACTGATGAGTGTGATAACTTGTGTAAGACCTACAAGAACATGTAAAGATAGAAGACACAAAATTAGTTGATAAAAAAAATCTGTTTTCAAATACTTTTAAATGATTTCATATCTCAAAATTCTAGTTACAAATTGAGCTCATAAATGTATGTATGTCTATGACCAGAAATTTTTAAGGCATCTTCCAGCATGTCTTCATTTGAAATACTTCCTCTAACACAAAACAAAATGTAATTTTCTTATAGAGCATTATTTAAAATGTAGTAGCTGATCTTAGAACAATAGCAGATCCTAGCATACATAAATAAGATGCTACAAAATGGATGAGATCAAACATCTGGATATCATGCTCAAGTTATGAATAGAAATCCAGGTGAATGGAGTAAAAGCAATAGCATACCTTAAGATTATCAGTCAATCTTAAGTTTTCATCAAGATAGCTTCTCTTTTTAGTCAATTCTTTCAAGGCACTAGCTACAGCATCATCCTGCCTCTCATCAAGAGCCTAACGAAGAAAAGAATACTTAACAATGTTCAAACAGGAAAATACCCTTCAATTAAGATATGTTCTCGACGTGTACGTACTATCTGCAATTCAGAAAGCCTTCTCTCCAAAATATGCTTCTCATTTAATAACTGAAGCTCCTAAAAACCAACAAGAACCATAACTTATGAAATTAAAGAAATAACTGCATCAAAAAACAAACATCAACAAAATAAAATGCAAACAAATTACTATTAACTTCATACTTTGATACATGCATTGGTGATTTGTTGACGGAGAAGCAGGATCTCTTCTTCTTGCTGGCGGGATCTGTAGTAAAGTTCCTGTTATCAAAAAAGAAAGGAAAATACTTTAACAAATATCAGATCCAACTGCTAATTATCATAGCATATAACCAACAGCTTCCAATAGAATGTTACCATGATTTCTGGATCCAATAAGTGGTTCTTTAATTCATCTCTTTTACCAGGACCAGGATGATTTTGAAATTGATGCCTACAGATGAATTATAATATAAACAAATTAAAGCTTATCTTTTGGACAACAAACTAATTAGCTTAAATATCTTGAGTTTAGGACCTGATTAAAGAATCAGATGTCTGAGCCAAAGGACCAACATCACCATTTTCAATCATGTAGCCTGTGCTAGATGATTTACCATCAGGTGCCACAAGTTCACTTGATGATCGACGGCCATCGTTAACCATATCTGCTTGTGCATAAACAGGAATGTGAATCTTCCCTTGCAGTGTTACACTGGTGAACAGTTACTTTCCACAAGCCAAAATTATCGAGGTACATATTAGAAGTTTCATCCTTGGAATCAAAAGTTTGATTAAAATATTAAAAACCAAAAGAGTTACAACAACAGCTTAATAGAGGTGGTACCATATTTGCAATTGTAATTGTGAACGAAACATATCTAGCCACAAATATTGTTCTTTGGCTTAATTGACCTTCCTAAATGAATATTGTACCTCATAGCAGACACTAAACTAATATGAGATGGCTTGAATGTTGATGATGATGACTGCAGGTCTTGAATATTAGAATGTTTGATTACCAATGCACCATGTCATAGTACACTATTTTTACTAAAAGATGCTTGACAGAATAGCAAAAGTTACTAGATTTACATAAGGGGAAAACATCAGTACGAACTAGGAATACCAAATACCAATAATGATGACTAGTAAACTAACATTTACATGGATTTAGACCCAAAAAAGGATCATAACTTTATGCTTAACTATCAAATATTTTCATCAAGAAATATATAATAGAAAAAAATATTTTTCTGTACATTAGGTTTCTCTGAAGGTCAGTCTATAGAAATCATGATGGGATGTAAAACACGATAAATATATATATATATAAACCATAGGAATAAATATATTAGCAATTTCTATTTAACTAAGACAAGGCTAAAACTACGAAATCATATAAATAAGACAAAGTGATATTGGAACTATGCAATCATGTAGATAAGACAGTGATAGAAATGAAGTTTGAACAAGGTATTCTAATGCAAGCACTGGCAAGTAACTTTACGAAGAGGGTCCCACTGAATCATTGAGAAGAGGATTATTTGCAATGCATCAAGAGATCAATGTTAAATGTGATATTGGATAATTCATCGGTTCTCATTTTCAACATAAGAATCCCCTTTCTTTTTTAACTTGAAATGGACGGCTAGGTGCTAGGGCCTCTTTCTGGATATTTATTTTAATCATGACCACAAATTTGTGATTAAAAGTCACTAGTTGAACATCTAAGCCACACTCCTAAATCCACAACCGTTTGACCATTCTTTGTATGAAATACTTTTCCTCATAAAGAGGCAATAAAGGTTGAGTTAAAAACATTGAGGCCTTTATCATACGGCATTACTAACTCTAAAATTGCACATCAATAATTGAACAGATACAGTATCGAGCCGACATCAAAATTTGTGTCAACTGTTTGTAAGCGTAGCAGTTAATGTGAGATGTTACAAAGACAACAGTACAAGTCAGAAGAACCTATTCAAGGTGATATAAAATAAAGAAAGAACTTCCTACATGCAATTTATTTAAAGGATCACGACCAGATCCAAGAAAACAAGAGCATCAAAGAAACAGTGATAATTGGTAGCGCAGTATCTGGTGTTTTACCCGACTAGCACCTATGATGGTGGTCTGAGCTCACGTCTCCAGTGTTTGTATGAAGTACTATTCCTGATAAAGAGGCAATAAAGGTTGAGTTAACGACACCGAGGCCTTTACCATATGGCAGCACTAACTGTAAAAGTGCACACGTCAATAATTGAATTGATACAGTATCTAGCCGACATCAAATTTTATGCCACTTGTTTGTAGGCGTACCAATCAATGTGAGATGGTACAAAACCAAGAGTACAAGTGAGAAGAGCCGATTCGAGGTGAAGAAAATGAAGAAAGAACTTCCTGCGCGCAATTTCTTTAAAGGATCACGACCAGATCCAACAACCCGCGATAATTGGGAGCGCGGTATCTGGTGTTTTCGTGACTAGCACGTATGGTGGTGATCTGACCTCGCGACTCCAGCTGCTTGATCATGAGGCACCGAGCCCTCGGATGACCGTCGAAGCCCGAAACACCCAAATCAGAGTTTATCCAATAACCCTAATCACCAATCACCTCGGAAAACCAAGAAACGTAGTTCACTCCCGGCAAGAACCCTGCGGCTTCGAGGCTCGGTATCTGGATCACTCCGACACGGATTTAACCCCCAAAAGATAACTAAATGTTCAAGAAAAGAGGGATTGATGCGAGGCCGAACCACACGAAAACAGAAGAACGACACAAAAAAAAAGAGCCCTAGAACGCACGAGGAGGGGGCATGAAGCCGCAAGAGGGCGCCGGAATCGTACCCGCTCCAGGGAAATCTGACCGGCTCGGATGTTTACGGCGGTGGAGGAGCTACCAAGACGGAACGAATCGGACGATGGATAGGGATGGAGGGATGAAGACGAGAGGGACGGGAGGGAATGAGGAGGACCGGAGAAGTCACCAAAGAAACGAAGATGAACGAGGAGAGGGGTCGGTTGCGTCGGCGCGTCAAAGTCGTTATAGTCTGCTATGGTGTGGAAACATTTTACATCGATATAATAAAAGGATGAAATATATCGTCGTGAGATGCGTTCTCTGACACTCCACGTCACCGGGATGAGGCAGCCCACGTCACGTTTGATCGCAAATGACGGTTCATTTTCGATCGATCTGTTCTCGGGTCGAACCGATTTGATTCTCAATTAATGATTCTGAATTAAGTAATATTATGAAATAATGAAGTTGGTTAGAAGCATGAAATTAATAGAGTAGAAAATGACTATAACTCTTCAATCAATTTCATTGTTTAAAGTTCTTAAGCCCAGAGAAGTGCCTTCTCCTACTCGATGACTTTTCCGTCCCCTGTTCACACAGCCACTCGAGACGGCCATTGCAAGATGTTACTGCCTCATTGACTATACCAGAGAGAACTCGAGAGAGTCTTGAGAATGCCTGTTGCAATTTGTAGGGTTGGTGCCGACAGAGATGTCTCCGGTGTTGGAATTTGGACCAGCAGGTGATGGGTGAATGTTCGTCTTCGTTCGGAGGCAATGTGCGACTCTGTAGTCGAAAGCCGTGAACAGGTCGTGGTGGTGACATTGGAGCGACTGTCGGAGCTTTGGAATGTCCACTTTGCACTTCCCTGTTTGGAGGAGAGATCACCACTTTCCATCGGTACTCTGTGGGGTCGGGAAGATGTGCAAATGAAGGACCCATGCGGGGTCCCACGACATTGTCACCCTTGAGCAGTTTCAGGGGTGACTCAGTCCGGCTGAACGACAGAGTCTAAGTGGAGTAGATGGAAAATAATTTGTTGATCGGAAAATTCTCTATTTAATTACTTCTGAAGAAGCATTACTGTTGGACAAATTTTGATTATATTATATTGTATTATATCAAAGGAATAAAAATGAAATTGTATAGGGATCGTTGGGAGAAAATTATCATCGAAATCTAAATCAACACAACATGGTTTTAAACTTGTGATAAGGGACCATTTGGTTGGTCGACCATTGGCACACCGGTCCGGTCCCAGTAGACAAGTCGATTGAGAATCAATCCCCTGTTGGGATATTGACTGGATGAGCGGCGTCGCTCGATATTGGGTGCAATGATTCAGTCGTAGTTGACAAGCACCTTTGCTACCGGGTACTCCAAACTGATGTGATTGAATAGTACGATTTGGGTACGGTATGGCTGATGTAGCCAATCATCAAACCTCGGGCATTATGGGATTGATGAGACCGAGCAGCATGGCTCGGGTACTACATGACTGCCAAGACTAAGGAATGATGTGACTGAGCAGCACGGTTCGGGTAGTGTAGGACTAATATGGCCGAGCAGCGTGACTCGGGCACCGTAGGACTAACATGACCATTTGCTCACGAGAAATTGTCCTCTAAGGGTAAGGGAGACATGGCGGATTTATAAGTCCTTGATTCCTATACTCCTCAACCAATGTGGGACCAAATGACCTTATTAACTTGAAATCGTAAGAGTGTTCGAGGTAATGACCGAAGCGATTCTAAGATAGTTTCAAGATGAAAATGTCAAACTTTTGGAATACCACCTAGACTAATGTCAAAGGAAATTTCTCAACTCAATCCCTTTGATGCTTAACTAAGATCTATTAGTGGATATGAGTTTTTATTGAAAAAAGAGCTTAGGTAGTTGTGTGGGACACTAGCTTTTTATACCTAACTTTAGATAGAACAATCTATAATAAATTTCAATGTCCCCCTCTTAACGTTTTGTTTACGTGGGCGACAAGAGTAGATAGGTCTGAACGATATGTTTCGGATTTTTAGTCCACATGGGCACATAGTCCTTTTACGATAACTTTCGTATGATAATTATGGTCAAATAATAATTGATTGTTAATATATTTCTATGAGGTATTATAATGAGGTGAGATTTTTTTTAATATCTTACATTTATTTAAAATATTTATTAATAATATTTGATATAATAAATAATATTAACTAGATTTAATTTGAATTTAAATGTTTATATAATTAGTGTGATTAAAAAATAAAAATAAAGATCTACATATAATCAAATTAAAAGGTATTTTTATTCTAGATAACTCTAATCCTTTTTTTTTTACTTATTATTGTAATTTTTATGTCATGACCCAATAACCGACATAATTTGGTTTGATCTCGATCGTGCAAGGGTATCCATGTGGTCACTTGGAAGGCTGAATGGAGGGGGGACAAAGGACCAAGGCTGGTGCCACCTACTCGACCTGGAATGGAGGATGTCGAGTTCCTACACAATTGGTCGATACTGGGAAGGAGGATTCTCGACTCGACTCATCTGAAACATAAGTTAATTTTCGAGAATAGTACTCAATATCCTCCAACATATGCATAGGGTGGCATTTTATACCTCTCATGAAAGTTTAATCATATGCGACTATCGACATTTCAAGTGATCGATTTGTCCGCTTCGAATGGGATTGGCTGACTATTCCAATTCCACAACATTTGAGGATGTCTCGCTCGATTTAGGGTATCGCTTCAGTTGATTGTTATTGTTGGTGTCGGGCTGATATCAAAATATCCCGTATCACTTGTTATTGTTGATTGCCGATGATGATCATGGCCATCCGCCGAAAACGAACGGTGGATGATTACTTCATAGCCCCTAAACCCTTTTCTGTTGCTGTGTTAGCTTCATTAACGGAGCTGTTCATTCCGGAGTCCCCTACAACCGCGGTTATCTTAAATTCCGCTCACCTCCGCACCCGCTGTTTATTGTAACCACAGTGCCGCGTATATAAATGCCGAACCCCACAGAGGAGACCCCGCCCGCCGTCACCGTTGTCGAAGAGGACCCAAAGAGAAGAGAAGTTGGTGAGGCAAGACGGTCGGTGGAGAATGGGAGGCGCCAGGAGATCGATGGCCGAGGAAGTGGTCGTGTGGGCGGCGGAGGACGAACACTGGACGGAGTGGAGATGCCGGAAGCACACATCCTCGTCCCAGCCCCGTGATGGCATTTGCCCTGGCTGCCTCCGCGACCGCCTCCTCCGCCTCTGTCCCGACTGCGCCAACGAACGCCCCTGCAGCTGCTTCCGCCCCTCCTCCTCCTCCTCTTCCTCCTGCTCCTCCGTTTCCTCCATCTCGCTCGCCGATCTCGCGGGATCCGCCGGAGGCGGCGCCGGGATCGGGGCAGTGGGACTCGTGTCGAGGTTGATCGACAGCGAGCCGGCGTTCCGGCGGTCCAGATCCGTCGGCTTCCAGCTCCTACGAACGAGATCGGTCGCCAGACACGTCGACGGCGGGGAAGCTCCACGGCGGCCGAATCGAGGGAGGAGGTGGGCGTTGTTCTGGCCCTTCCCGAGGGCGGCGGGCGGGAAGGAGTCAGCGGCGGAGCTATCGAGGTCAAGGTCCGTGGGGGCGGCGGGATTGGCAGGACCCGGCGGCGGGGAGGACAAGGGAAAAGCATGGGGGTGGCATTTCCCGAGCCCAATGAACGCTTTCCGGCACCGGCGGTCGACGGAGCTCGTACATGAGAGGTCGCCGTTGTACTTATTCCGCGGGTGACAGAAACGCTAAACGAGGTCCGTGAAAAAAAGGACAATTTCTCTTTAAATTGTTTTGCCTGTTAAGTCCATTTCTCTATTTACATAAAAACTTTTATCTGGCAAATTTTCACGCTATTCGAAAGCTTTTAAATGTTCGATCCCGAATTTATCGAACCTTTTTCTTATCATACTTAATCTCACCGTCCGTCCGATCATTATCAGACGGCTAATTTGTCACTGCAGTTTTGCAGGGTACCAGCCAGTAATGAAGAACGCGACACTAAACGTGTCCAATGTGTTGAGTATCTGAACTATTCTGTGCCACACAAACTGGTTTCTTCTACCTCTCCTCTCCCATCTTCAGTAAATTATGCTCTCAGAGACACCCATCCACTCTGCAAGGGTTCGAAATGGCATTTGCAGATGGTTCCCACTTCACATTGTTATGAAAGTTGAGACAAGCATTTATGACTCCCACTTTATCCCAGTACTAAATTGGTGACATCCCACATGCTCTGTCTCGGACTAGCGTAAGGCTGAATGCTCAATGCCACAGCCATTCCACAGGCTTCTCCACAGTCCATTGTCCGTAGGAATGTGGAAGGTCGAAGGAGAGATGAGAAGCGTTCCTTCTGCTTTTGCTCTCTCAATTAGTGTGATGGCCATCATTCCTCTTGATGATTAAACCTCGGCGTGGAAACAGAACCTCTGTTGAACCAATCAGAGAAGTCACCGAACAATTTAAAGATCATGATCAATATAAAAAGGTTATCAGCAACTATCCCTTTCGGCGCATGATCTTAAATAAACCCACACGTATGCACATGAAACAGTGGCCCTCGCACGTGCCTTTCGATAATGGGTTTTGGGAAGATGGGAGTCACGGCCACCGTTCGAGCCGTCCTTAGGGGAACGAGACGGTAGGCTTACCCGATGTGACTAAAAGCTGAAGCCTGACTCCTTTTACAGGCGCATCCACATGGCATCAAAAATCGTGACGACTGCGATCCTCCCAATTTCCACCCTTCAGATCTCCACCGTGTCCGGACAAGACTTCACGTGCACCGTCGCCAGGTACCCTGGATCCTCTTCAAGTGAACCAGGTGAGGTGTCCGCGGCACCTGGCCGTATTGGTGGATATTTGAGATGTAAGATGACTTGGAAGATATTGCTTACAAGGATACCTGGATATGATCCTTATCAAGTCCAAGGCACCGCAGTGTCTCACGTCTCCCTCGCTGTGTTCGTCCTCTGCGCCCGCGCTTCATGGTACCGAAAAACCCTAGAAGCCCTAGCAGCGGCGCCATGAACGGGTCTTGCTGTAAGCTAGAGGACGGGTTCCCGGCGTTGCAGCTTTTCGGCCAGGGCGTCTCCTACACCTATGACGACGTCATCCTTCTTCCTGGCTACATCGACTTCCCCGCCGACGCCGTCGACCTCTCTACCCGCCTCTCCCGCCGCCGCCCCCTTGCCATCCCCTGCGTCGCCTCCCCCATGGACACCGTCTCCGAAGCCGCCATGTCCGTCGCAATGGCCGCCCTCGGCGGCGCCGCCATCGTCCACTGCAACAACGCCCCCGACAGCCAGGCCGCCATTGTCCGCGCCGCCAAGGCCCGCCGTATCCCCTTCGCCACCGACCCCGTCTTCCTCTCCCCCTCCGACTCCGTCTCCGACTTTGGCCCTGCTGCTTACGCAATCGTCACCGAGTCCGGGACCTCCAAGTCGAGGGTCGTGGGCGTCGTCGCCAAGTCCGATTGGGAGGGCCTAGCGAATAGGAATACTCTGGTTTCCGAGTACATGCGGCATGCGCCAGTGTCGGCTCCGGCGAGCTACGACTTCGAAAAGGTGGCGTCTTTCCTGGCAGGCGGGGGATTGGAGTACGCGCCGTTGGTGGCGGAAGATGGGGAGGTCGTTGATCTGGTCACCAAGGAAGACGTGGAGAGGATCAAGGGATTCCCAAGGCTGGGAGTGCCATCCCTGGGCGCCGATGGGAGGTTCGTTGTGGGGGCGGCAATAGGAACCCGGGAGACCGATAAGGAGAGGCTGGAGCATCTGGTGAAGGCCGGGACGAATGTGGTAGTGGTGGATAGCTCGCAGGGTAACTCCATATACCAAATCGAGATGATCAAGTATGCCAAGAGTATGTACCCGGAGTTGGATGTCATCGGAGGAAATGTTGTCACAGTTGCACAGGCGCAGAATCTGATCAAGGTCGGGGCTGATGGGTTGAGGGTGGGCATGGGATCGGGGTCCATATGTACCACTCAGGAGGTTTGCGCTGTGGGCAGAGGACAGGTATGATATCTCGTTCTTCAGTTTGATCTCATTCTACTTTTAGTTCCTTCCAAGGTAGAACTAACAAAAACAATTCTAACACTGGCACAAAAGCGTAGGTTAGTGTTAACTTGTCTTTAGGTTTTATCGGGCTTGTGTCGTCCTGTTCTATTGCATATTAGCGATGAACTTGGATAAGGGTATTGAGAAACAAAGACTTACTAATAATGCTAGTCATATGACTATAAATAATACACATGAATCCTCTCTGAGTGGCTGCAAAGGTTGCATTATTTTGTTGATCCGGTGCAGTGTTAAATGTTTGTTAGATGATCATTTCGTGAAACTTCACGTCCTCTCAAGACATTATTGATGATCTCACATGCTGCATTTATTTTGGTTTATATAGGCAACAGCAGTGTATAAGGTTGCATCTTTTGCAAAGGAACATGATGTGCCTGTTATTGCTGATGGTGGGATCTCGAATTCTGGACACATTGTGAAAGCTTTGACTCTAGGGGCTTCGACTGTTATGATGGGCAGTTTTTTAGCTGGTAGCAGTGAGGCGCCTGGTGTTTATGAGTATCTGGTATGTCCGCTGTTGTAACTGGTTATACTACTTTGTCTATTTTCATGAATTTACTGTTAAAAATAACAATTATGCATGATAATCAAGGTTAGTTAATGCAGTGACCTATTTATCAATCACATGCCACGAAATGTCTCAGTGCAGATTACCAAGGGAGAATGACAATTTTGACCTTTACTACTTTGTTTCATTGTATCACACAGTTGAAATTATCTGCCACAGTGCTTTCTATGCAGCATTTATTTTTGAATGTCAAGATCTTATTTCTACTCAAGTAGTCATGCGTATATTCCTTTAACCTGCTTCCTTCCATGATGATCATGCATTGCTATTTAGACGAGGCACTATTTTAAGTTTTTGGCTTAGCTATTGAAAATAAGTATCCTAAATGAAAAGGAATTTTCAGTCGACTTGCTTATAGAAGATCAAAAAATTTTTGGCCAGCAGCTTTTACATCACCATCTGGCCTAAACGATGCATCCACTTTTGTAAATCCGTGTATATTTTTACTCATTTCTGATGACCAGCATAAAGAATTGGTTAATTTAGGTCAATTTCTATGCTTGCGTAACTTGATTTACAGAATGGTCTTGGCTTGATGTTAAGTCTCTGTTCTTCGACGCACTGTCACGACCTTAGCTGG